ATATTTTTTACAGATGATAGGTGGTATACAAATGTTACATTTCATCTCACAATATTTATCTTTAGAGTAAGATAAGGTGCCTTTAAGGTAAGACAATGGGCATTCTTTGGATCAGGACCAGAGAGTTTCCTTTATCTTATCACCTGAGCACTGACAATGGCCAGAATCTAAATAGCCAGAAAACTGAACCAATATTTAACTATGACCAAAACATTCCAGGTATATATATATATTTAAGTCAGTCTTCATTTGGATCATAAAAAAGTACGTCCCAATTCAGAGTAAAAGACAACAGTTTCAAAAGGTACAGAAATAGAAAAAAAGGACAAGAAGAAGAACAGGACCATGAAAAGAGTTCCTTCTTTGACAGACTGCACGCCACATCCAGGTAATTTTAGCACTGAAGCCAATAGACTTTAGAATTTAGGTAACGTAAATAAAGTAAGGATAGAATTGTTGGCTTGCCGTTGAAAAGCTGAAATTCACAAATATTAATGCACAAGATATTTAATGACAGCTGAACATTTGATGTACTCTAGTATTTTAGAATACAAGACGTAGCACAACATTTCATGTGCTGGAAGTTCCCCAGTTTTTCTCTTCTGCCATTTTTTGGCATCAGTTATATATTCCATGTCATGCTTGAAAAACTTAGGTATTTTTTAAATCAGAAAAAAATCTGGATATTTGTATCCATTTGTATGTAGCAAAACTAAAAACTGCAGTCTGGTAAAATCCAGAAGCCTTTAGTTTTGACTGCCTATAGATTCTTCACTTTTATCATGGATATTTTTCTCCAGCAAATGCAATTATATGCTTACAAGGAGTGTGTAATGCCTCTAATACGAAGTCAGGAAGTTAGCAAACATTAGGACACTGACATTGAAATACATATCGCTTAAAACATTGCAACAGCACACAGTATTGCTAAGATAAACTTTTGACCTCTATATTTAGACACTGGATATTTTATTTTAAGAATTACTTTTTGGATTTCCCTGAGAAAAAAAGCCACCACTGTTGGATGAAGCAACCAAGAAAACATGAACATTTTTCATTTATCTGAAGGCAACATGGGATAATGTTTTAATTGTTGGACCAGGTTTGTTGGCCTGTGGGCTCTGAAGGTGAGGAGCCTCAAGGTATTGGTTACCATGGTACCTGGAAATGGAAGAGGCTTTTGGGAGCCTTCTAGAGCAGCACAGCTTTTCACTCTCAGCCTCACAGGTGCTTACTTAGACCCAGGAGGCCTTTTTGGACTATCAAAGCCACCTGCTTGTCTAGACTGTGTGCTACTATATTCCCCCGAAGGGCTTTGTAAACTTCTCTTCCAATATAGCCAATTAGCTAGAGTCTACAGGTGCAGAGCTTCATAGCATGATGCAACAATGTCAAGAAATGAAGGCATTTTCTTTTTGCTATCAGTCTGAATAACAGTATTTATTTTTGCACTACTATATAAACTGTGGGGGAAAATGTACAGAACATACATTCTACTCTTGATTGTATGAATAACACAATAAAAGCTCATACATTTCTTTACTAAAGGCAATTTTTAAAAGAGGCTAAAAATACATTTTAGAAAAATATAAATTAGACAGGTCATATCTATAAAAACATAAAACAAATCAGGGATGTATTTGTATTTATTTAGAAATTAAACAGATTGTTTTGTAATTATATGACTTTAACACCCTAACCCTAAACTGTTTCTTCATCTTTTACTTTTTAGGAACACTTTTCCTAAAACTGAATTGTACCCCACAAAGCCTTCAACCACATTACCCTTCTGTCACATTGTAGAAGTAATACAGTATATTCCTTCTCATGTATTACATGGTGCTTGATTTTCAAGCATACAGTAAATAGTACGTAGGTTAATTCTCCAACTCGTTCAATTTGTAAAATGCAAAATCTTGTGAGCAAAGTTGTATTTATAAGAGGCACAATCATAAAAACCAAACATTGTATATCTACAAATGACTTTGTTCAAATTACAATTGTTTTTATTATGAAATGTGCTCTCTGAGTGCTCTCAAATGTAAGATACAGTGATGAACTTCAGACTATTCTATTAGATTTGTATGTTTTGATTATGGTCACACTACAATTCAGTCAATAAATAGTACATTATGAATAGAGTATGTTCATGTGCAATTACAGTACTAACACTGTCAGCACCGTGGTGCAAACATTGGAACAATCTTGCACTAGAGCTGCAGAGTTTGCAGCAAACAGATTTAATACAGGCCTGATTTTATTTTAATTTGTTGAAATTCCTGTTATTAATGTTCCCTGTTATTCTTCTCATTTGTTTCCTAAAGAAAAACATAAGTGACAGGAAATGTCCTGGAGAAGTCCACGAATGATGCATGCTAGTGTTTTACCACTGGTTTAAACATTTACTTCCCTTTCGCATTTCCTCCCAGTTACCTCTGAGAGATCTGTTTAGTTTAGAATGTTTTGGTTTTTTTTTATAGTTGGGTGGCAGTGGAGTAGCTGTATTCACACATTGTCAAATAATTCCCGCCAAAACATAAGAAAATATCTTTCTTAAAGAAATTTCTCTAAAAAACATGAATGTGAAATGCAAAAAAATGTTGATGTGTATTTAGAATATAATAACAGTTAAAATGATAGGAGGCTTTTTGACCCATCTACCCATCTTGGTAGATGGCAGCTACAGTAAGTGATCACAGGTGATCTTCATCCATCTAGTTTCCACATCTGTATTTTGGTTCATGTGGACTTTAAAGACGTCCATAGATTTATCGCAGTGCCTCTGAGGATTTTTAAAACTTGAATCAGGCACCCTGGTAGTCTTTTTCTGTTAAAGACTAAAAAGGTTCAGTTCCATCAGTCTATCAGTATTCCTTTAGGTGCATTGTGGTTGCTCTTCTCTGGCCTGATTCCAGAACAGCAAATATTTTATTTTTAATGTAGAGACCAAAACCGTATGCAATATTCTGAATGAGGTATTGCTAGTGCATGGCAGCATCCTCTGATTTGTATACTTTATATTTTTTATATCTAAAAAATATTAAATAATTAAATTAATTAAATAATTAAAAAATATTATATCTTTTGTTTTATATTTGTATGTATTTAACTATATATTGGAACATTTTGTTTGACTTTTTTTGCTTCCCCCCATTGTCTAGTAGATGTACAGTAGATGATAGTTATGTCTTTTGCATAAGTTTCAAGCTCTTTGTTTCCCATTTTGTAACTATAATTTGTTTGCTACCTGCACATCTCTACATTGAACATGATCTGTAATCCATGCTAGTTGAACTGGTCCTCACATGGATTGATGGGGTACTCCACTAATTGCAAAAACCCAATTTGAACATTCAATCCTTATTTTTAGTTTCACCAATTCTTGATCCAAGCGCTTGTATTTCCCTGAATGCTTTCTTCCTGTAATTTGAGTCACTTTATTGAAAGCCTTTTGAAAATCTATATATAACATAATGTATTCTCTTTGTGTGCCCATTACGTTTGTTTCTAATCCAAAGAAATCTAACAGGTTGTTTAAGCAAGAACAAACTAGTTTAACAAACATGCTGTATTATTTGATACTGTTTAAATAAGCTAAAACAGCTTTAGGTAGAAATAAGCAGTGTTATGTAATACTGTCTTCTGAAGCTGATACAACCAAAAGGTTTGGATGCCAGCCTGCCTTATGTTATATTTTGTCATTATAACATGTACACATGCCAGTCATGTATATAGGCCTCTATTATATTGCAGACACTGTGACTGTTAAGATATTTGTCTAGGGGTCATTTTGGTGACATTACAATCAAAAGGTAATTCAGGCATTAAGGGCCTAGACAGTTTAATCACATGAACTTAATGAATCATATAACAAAGGTTAGATCAACTATTGTCACACAGAATTTTCCTGAAACAATTCACTGAAATCTCTCTTGCCAGTCAGTAAGTGCCATGTATCACTAAATCCTTACCTGTACTTCAGTTTTCAAGTCACTTCATTACTGTTACATAATGATTAAAAGTTAGTTACTTTTACTGTTCTTGACCATTTTGAATTCATTTTCAAATATTACTATAGGGTTTAGTGTGCTGTGCAATTTTATTAAACCTTAATGTTAAGTAATACATTTACAGGGAGTATACTCGAGTGAAAGTTTGAACATACCAAACATTTGGTTAGTTGCTTTTTTCTTTGTTTCAGGTGTTGGGTACGGTTCATTACCAAGTCACGTTTACTAATAAATACAGTTAAGATTACCAAAACGTCATCAGGAACCATTTGCTTCATGATCACATGGAATCAGCCCCCAAGAAACTTCGGTCTTTGTACTGACACAGACTAAAGATGAGATGGAGATGGAAAACAAAATTTGATTCTGTGCAGCAGGAGCTATCTGCAATACTCATTCAATATTCCCACATCTACTGTAGTTTAATTTCACTTTCCCTCCACCGTAAACAGCATGGATAGTTCTGTCTTGTAAAGTTTTTAGTTATGAATGTAAATTGTAGGAAGTATTCGTTAACCTTATTCAAATTAATTTGTTTCTAATGACGTTTCATTACTGTAAGACTGTAACAAAACTGTCCTAGGTTGCATGCGATGTGTTGTTTTACTGGTTTATTTGCAGTTACGTCGTGTTGTATAAAGCCTGGACTGTCAGCATTAAGAGATATAAGATGAAAGCTGCAGGGACCGTTAACTCCTTCAAGTATTAAGGAGTTAACTTAGTTTAGTTTAAAATGGAGGAGAAAAGTATTGGGTGCCAAACAATAGCACAGCTATGTTTTACAGTACACCGTACCAAAGAGCTACCTTCGTAAACACGCACGTGAGAGCACATACACCAAAAGTAAAAGCCACACACGAATCACCAATTATCAGTCTCCGCCTCCTGTGGCCTGATTGATAAGGAAGCCCTCCTTTTTGTCTCCTTGTCTTCTTCTAATTGGTTGATTTTACGTCAAACTGTCACGGGACTAATCATAGTCTGAGCAAAACACTCAGAGTTAGGTGGGGAGTGAGAAACAAACGGAGGATTAAGTACATGAACGCAGGGAAGTGCTTAGTCTAAACAGTGGAGCAGCGATGTGGATCTAATTATCTGCTCAGGGGAACTCAAGGCTGTCGATATTAAACACTTGTAAACCCTTATATTCAGGTTAATAAACTTATTAAACTGAAAAATGTGTTTTATGGATACAACTTTACAACGCTATTTGAATAAAACTAGCAGTGCAAAGGTATGTATTTTCTTCTTCTTTTGGAGTTTTATTTAGTTATTTTAGTGCATGAAGAACTGCTTTAGAAGGATAAAGAAATCCTGTGTTTCAGCTGGTGAAAACGTTTGCGGAAAGTTTATTGTGTTTATGAGAAACTTTGTACGATCATTTCTGCTTGGTGAATTATCTTCCACGTGAGAGGACTGTCTTTGAGTGAAACCAAGTATGTTACTTTTTCTTTCGTGGGGTCGTGGGGGGGTTCTCACGTAATTCCATTTAAAGTTGGATTTAATTGATAACAAAAGACCGTTAATGACTAGTGTCGAAGACTGCATTTCAAAATATATATATATTAAATGCAGTGGTACAGAGTGGTGATGGTACGTTTTAACTCGCGCTTGACCAGGAAATTGCTTAAATACGCTAAACCGTGACTAAACGTTGGCAATGCAAGGATAATTCGCAGGCAGCTGTGACCTGAGCATTGCAGAAGTCTTTTTTGATAAAAGGTTTACAGAGCGCTAGGTAAACAGCTTGTAACCTACTAAAGATTAACTTACACTCCAGCTATCGAAAGGGGGGAAAAAGATATCAGGAAATATAAAGGCGATACGGGCAGTGGCTTCCCTTAAGTGTAACGCTACATTCAAACATAGAAACGTAAAAAACATGAACTAAAAAAACCGTTGTCTTGTATAATCGCGTAGCAACAACGTTATAATGTATCATTTTTAACTACTGCTATTCATGGAGCAACACTTGCCCCTTTTAAACGCGATTTATATAATAACAAACATTTTGCCGTATTTGGTTGGAGGTCTTACAGTAAATATTATTTCTAACTTAAGAGTATATCTGCAAAACTGATAGACTTTCCTGTTTCTGAAAAGTTTGAAAATCACCCTGTCATTGCCTATTTGTGCGATGATGTAATGTACTTAATCACATCAATGATTGCATAAGTCTTGTTTAAACAGGGTAAAATCTTAGTCGTTGTGAGTCCAATGTACAAGGCATCAGATGGTCGCTTGCATGACCACAAATATAGTGTGTGCTAAAAGGTTAAATGTAAACTGCATCAATCGTGGTATTGGTAAAGACACAGTTAGCCTCATGCTTTTGTAATGGAGCCTGTTCTTGCTATAAGTATCCTTTAAACTAGTCCCTCACAATGTACTGTATGGGGCTCAATGGTTTTCCTGAAAAACATAAGTGCAATCAAGGACGAGGTGATAGTCTACCGTAGAGCATTGTCAGCGCTCTGGTGGAGTGATGATGTGTTCTTATGATGAAATTTCCATACACGTATTTGCATGTGGGCCTTCAGAGAGCTTTCATGCAAAAGTAGTCATGTGCTCTGTAGCTGTGATGTATTCATGGGACCGTTTGCAAATGACCTTGGTTTTCTATAAAACTTTTATTATAAAAAAACCTAACTCAACTTTAAATGTGTGCTACAAAGTAAAGGCAGAAGACCATAGTTTATCAGGAGCTGTGGTTTCCTTGATGGTGGATATTGTAGGTTAGGTCAATCACATTAGGATATCGGTGCTTGGGTTTAATTACCACTATTGTTAGAATGTCATTGTATTCTTGCTAGCACTGCAATTTTATTTTAATTGAGTTTTTAAATGGAAAACCAGTTCTAGAACTGTTGAAGTACATACAGTAAAGAGGTCAACAGATGTCAATACCACTGCTCCTAATACATTTTAAAAGTAGACAGCTGATATGATTTCAGTTACAGCAAAGGCTTTGTATGGTTGCTTTGGGTGGCCTGTCATTGCATTGAACAAGGTTGATTGATTTGTCATGTGGTTCAACTGGTTTCCAAAAGTAGTGCTGACCCAGGTCCGGCTGACTGCTCCTCAGAGATGGGCTTGTTTCACTTGAGGGCTGAAATAGTGACTGCTGTTAATGTAGTTCACTGATCCCTGTTTTCCCTTTTTGCTGTTTTTGCAATAAAAAGTAACACTTTGCAATTTCAAAATTAAAATAAATATATTTTCGATTAAGGCAGCCGCATTGAAGACCCTCAAACTTTTAATGGACTGCCAAATAAAAAGAATACATTGATACCTACAAGTTCTAGTTTGACTCCTGTATATAGGCATTTTAATTAAATGTGTTGGTTGAATCTCCTTTGCCATTAACTAAAGCACTGTAAAAATAAAATTGATTCTATCCAATAACACAGATTTGCCCTGGACAAGCCAGTCCATCTCAGGGCCCACAAAGATAGATGCACACACTCGCACCAGGGCCAGTTTTCCCAAAAGCCAATTAGCCTTCTAGTAGGTATTTGGACTGTGGAACTAGGGCACCCAAAGGAAAAATTACATAAACCCAGGGAGAACATCCAAACTCCATGCAAATGGCACCCCGGTTCTGGAATTGAACCCATTGCATTAGAGCTGCAAGGCAGCAATGATAACCCATGCACCACCATGCTGCCCTCTTGTTACTTGTGTCGATAGGAAATGTAACAGTGCCACCATCTAATGGAGGTAGGGTATGTTGTTGGTTTGCATTTTGTCATTGTTTCTTTGACTTCTGTTTAGGACCAAATATCTTTAATCTGCATAACCTTGTTCACATGCATCTTTTATCATCTGATTTCTCATTTTAGAAAAAAATAGCGGTACTTTTATTCTGATTCCGCTTACATTTAGCTACACTTTAGTTTGAATATCTTTGTTAATGCCTTGTGTAATCACAGTTTACAGTATGTGGTTCTAAAATCATTATTGTATTCAACCCTTCTGTCGAATGCAGAACATTAAGACAACTTTTTTTTTTCTGGTGCTTTTTGACTGGAGTTTCAAGTCTAGTATAAAGTGTTTAGAGGTTAACATTTAAAAATGCCAACATTGCTATGCTTTTCTATATAGTCAATCACAGCCCTTCTAAACACTGTACGGGGAATCCCCTTCTGCTGAGTATACCTCTCTGGACCTCAAAGTTCAGTGAATATGCTATATGAATATTCTTCTGCATGCTTCACTTGCCCCATAAAGAATAGAGGGAATAATTTAGGAGTGTATCTGTTCAGGAATCTGGAATGTAAACAATGTAAAGATATCTAGACTACTTGGTACAAGGTACAGGAGCTTAACTCGTCTTGTTGGTGTGTGTAGCAACAGTGATTCATCTTAAGATCATGTAGCCTGTTTCTGATATGAGGTGACCTTACACATTTCTCATTCAGAATGCTATATAATAAGTACTTATAGAACGTATCATTGAGAATTGCTTTAGAAGCTTCTCCTGGCACAATAGTTTATATGGAATTGCTGAGTGCTGCATTTCATATTCTGTGTACAATAAATTACTTTTTGCATTCATTCTCTTTCAGACAGGTTTGTTTTCTTACAATGCCTAAGTTTTGTCTTTGTATACTTTGGATATTGTGTAATTCAGTGATATTCTTGGGGGCATTTCATAGCAAGAACTAAGATCTACTTTTCAAAGTTATTTCCATTATATCTATTGGTCTGACATTTCCTATTTGGTCTCTCATTTCTGTGGCTCTTTTTAAACAAAGCCAGTGAAGGCGATTACATTTTTTTTTTTTTTAGGATCATTATTGTTTTTGGGTGTGGCTTCATTAAACTTGTTTTCAGTTTTGTTTCAGAATTTCTACCGAATTTAAAAGGGGAGTAAAATCAGTGAGCTAGAGAACTGTTTTACTTAATGTGGATTTTATTAAAACATTTTGACATAAGTACTGAATTGGATGATGCCTGTAACCCAAATACCATATTCCACAAGAATGTAAGGAGATGACAATTTAATAAGATAGAAACCCTGCAACTCCCAGCTGACAACCCACTGAAGCTCAGCAGATGTGAGCCTGAATGGGAGACCTCCTGGTAAAGCTAAGGCTGCTGCTGGAAGAGGTGTTAGTGAGGCCAGCAGGGGGTGCTCACCCCACAGTGTGTGTGGAACGTAATGCCCCAGTATAGTGATTGGGACACTATACTCTAAAAATACTCCATGCTTCGAATGAGACGTAAAACCAAAGTCCTGACTCTCTGTGGTCGTTAAAAATCTTAGGGTATTTTCTGAAAAGAGTAGGGCTGTGACCCCAGCATCCTGGAACAAGTTTCACATTGGCTTTTAACAATCATGGCCTCCTAATAATCCCTATCTGTGAATTGGCTCCATCATTCTGTTCTCCTCCCCACTGAAAGGTTACAAATGAGAATGGACTATTTGGCCCATATAGTTGATCCAAAAATATCATCCAGCCTGTTTCTTAATTTAAGCTAACATTGGATTCAACTACATGGCTGGGTAGCTTGTTCCATACTCCTGCAATCCTTTGGGTAAAGAACTGCATCCTATTTTCAATTGAACAAATGCATAGTTTCCACCTTTGTCCTCTGGTTCATGTTTCACAGTTCATTTTGAAGACGCCTTCTGGGTATAATTAGTCAGTGCCTTTAAAGATTTTGAAAACATGTATCATGCCCCCAGCAGTTACAGTTCAATGCTTGGGTTTTTATATATGGTCTGTCATGTTCTCATGAAAACATTTACAGAGTAAAAATAAGGCAATGTGGTAGAAATTGCAAGGGAGTTAAATTAAAATTTGTGACACATAAACCTTTTAAGTTCTGTTGGGACTTGAAAGTACCATTAGCTGAAAAGGTCTGTGAAGCTCTAATCCTGGCTTCTGGTCTAATAGAACTACAAAGTAGCATCAAAATACACGAGACTGCAAAGTCCTGCTGGTCACTGTCCAGAGTTAGGTCCATCTGTGAATTGTGTAACATTAAAAAAAAATAACTTTGAGTCTCGCAACACAGCAATAAAATATTTTTGTTTGTGGAAATTGCCACCAGTTTGTTTTTCATACAACGTGAGCCATTGTAGCTGAATCATTTTTCTATGAATGTTACACTTCTCATCTCTCTGCCTGCTTGCTAATATGGTTGTACAAGTAAGAAAACATTTGTGAACTACTTTTCTATACTGTAGGGAAGCATTCCTTACATAGGGGAGCACTTATCTTTTTT